GCACCGAGGCACCCGCGGGACCAGGCAGGTGGCCGGGCCCTGCCCGCGTGGTTTTTATCCCATCACCACCACATCTTTCCAACCACTGCCACGCGAGCACACCTGCCAGCAGCCTCCAAACGACGGGGAGAAGGTGGCAGAAGCACGCAGGGATCTGCTGGTGCCCGGACGCTCACAGGGTCAGCCGTGAGCTGCCCTGACTTGCACGACTATGCGAGAGGGCAGAGCGCGGAACACTGTCCCAAAGGGCAAAGACGCTGCTGTCCCTGGCCCCACCATGTTGGGCAAAAGCTCTGTGCGCCCATGGGCTGGCAGGGACACGGAGGCAGGGGGTACGTGAAGGTGCTTGAGGCTCCTGCCCGAGACGGCGCACATGTGGCCCGAAGGCACCGCAGCGCCAGGACCCAGGCCCTGCATGTTACCCACCGCCTCTGCCACGCGGGGTCAGAGCCCTGACCCACCACACATGGACAGGAGCGGCCGTGGGCCCTGGAGAGCGGCCAAAGCCAGGCCCTGGGGCCACCCCTGAATCGGCCTTCCCAGGGCTCTGCTCCATTCGTGGGCACCAGGAGATGGGCACGGCTGACTGGGCTGCAGGGGCGGGGGGGTCCCATCTCTGGGGAAACAGCACTGCTTCACAGACCCTCTTCGCATTAGCTCGATGGCTGCTGGGGATTCCCAGTGCCCAGGATCTCCTAAGGCCCCCAGCAGCGCACGCGGGACAGGAGAGACAGGGACACCAGCCTGAGCCTGGCATGTGGTTCCAGCTCCTGCCCTCAGCGCTGCAAGGGCAATGGGGACCAGTGGGATTTGCAGGGAAATAACCTGGCTGTGCCAGGCCCTAGGAGAGGCCAACTGGAGAGGCAGGAGCAAGTCTGGGGCAGAGCTGGGGCAACTGCTCCCCTCTAAGGCCCAGCAGAGGGGGATGGCACGGGGTGGCCTCGCCAAGACAAGAGGGTGCCAGCTCACCGAACCACCTCCAGGAGCAGGGGGCACCGCTCTGTGCCACAGCCACCCACCCAGGAGCAACAGCCCCTTCCCGGGGCCACCAGCCCTCCGAGGTGCCCGGGCAGAGGCCCTGGTGGCCAGGTGGGCCAGGGAGAGGTCCTTGGGCTTCATGATGATGCTCTGGGCCCCTTGCAGCCCTGAGGGACCTCTAGTCTCGAGAGGCCCCTCTGGCGCTCCTCAGTGCCCTTGGTTTCCTGGACTGGACTCCCTGGGGTGCCCCTCCGGGCAGACACCTGGGCCCAGCAGGCCACCCTGACCGTGCTAGCCCAGTTCCAGCTGCCCCAAACACCCCAGGTGCCCAAGGTCAGGGTGCCGAAAAACAGGGGGCCCCAGCATCGCTGTTTGCATCCCTCAATGCTGCGCTGCTTTTACCCGCCAGGCACGGCCGGCCGCAGGGCCGGGCACCTCTGCAGTGCAGCCCGCAGCCGCCGCAGCAGTGCCAGTGCCCTCAGCACCAGCGCCTGGGACTGAGGAGCTGCAGCCTGGTGGCTCTGATGGTCCCAGCTCCGGGAGCCCTGGGGCACCGCAGAGCGGGTCACAGGATGGGCCCTTTCCC